ACTGAAAACAAATTACTAAATGCCACTGACATTATACTTAAGTTCCATCTACTTTCAAGCTTATATTGACTATTCCAAAGCTAAAATGAACCCAGAGAGAAACCAAAATTTTTAAAAACGGTAGACTATGCTTTGGTTATTCTCATCCCTTGGGCTCTGTTCCCACTGCTTTTGGAAGTTGTTTAGTTGCCAAGACCTAGGTGGAGTTTGTTATAAAGATAATGAGGTAGCCAAATTATAATAATATATGCTTTTAATACAATAATTTCATACCTTTTAGTAATTTCGAGTTTGTAAGCACTTTACCAAAGAAAATCCAAAAACACATTTGAAATTTAAAGCTATTGTTTTATAAATTTTAATAGTACTAACATCTTTATTTATGCTTCAAACTGCTGGTAAGTTATACTGAAGTAGAGGACTGGGGACAAATTTAATTATTTTAGCCTATCATTATTCAAATATTAACTGTTTTTGTTTTTGTTTTGAGACATAGTCTCACTCTGTCACCCAGGCTGGAGTGCAGTGGTACCATCTCAGCACACTGAAACCTCCACCTCCTGGGTTCAAATGATTCTCCTCCTTCAGCCTCCTGAGTAGCTGGAATTACAGATGTGCACCACCACATTTAGGTGATTTTTGTATTTTTAGTAGAGACAGGAATTCCCCATGTTGGCCAGGCTGGTCTTGAACTCATAGCCTCATGTAATCTGCCCCCTGAGTCTCCCAAAGTGTTGGGATTACAGGTGTGAGCCACCAGACCCAGCCAATATCAACATTTTAAAATGTGATATTACAAAAAATAAAACTTAGTTGTTTTCTAAGAACAGATACCATAATGAGAAATAGGAAAAGACAGCATGATAAAAACTAATGGAAGAGAAAGGCTTAAGATAGTAAGTGTGGAATACTGAAGTTTAATTAAAAGAGAACTAAAATAGGACAATAGACTTGGGAGTTTAAAAAAGTCCGGTACAGTAATACAGGAGTTGACCAGAATGCATTCTCATGAGAGTGAACAGAGGTAATTAAGTAGATTATGGAGTTTAAGCTATTATTTCAGGAATACTAGAAATAAATGGAAGAAAAGGTTTAATGGAAATATGCAGTGGAGTTTTATTTTTTGGATACAGGAGACTTAAACATCTTTGTAGGCAGAGAAAGAGGTCAATGGAGATAAGCAATGTGTCAAGAGAATGAGATCCAAGAATAAGTGGAAGGAGTAGCCTTGGAAAAGAGAAAAGCCACCTCCTATTTAGAGAAAATTAAGAGACTAGAATGAACGGGGACTTTGATAATTTAAAAGTTCCTTGTTTACCTACTAGCCCTACTATAACCGCCAAATAAAACAATTAAGACCAAGTGACCTCAAAAACAATGAAATATCAGTATCAACTGTGATTATAATACTGATATTCCTATATTATTACTGTGAATTCCGCCATTAAAAAATCATGACCAGGCCAGCTGCAGTGGCTCACATCTGTAATCCCAGCACTTTGGGAGGCCGCAGTGAGCAGATCACTTTAGGTCACATGTTCAAGACCAGCCCAGCCAACATGGTGCAACCCCATCTCTACTAAAAATACAAAAATTAGCTGAGCATGGTAGTTCATGCCTGTAATCCCAGCTACTTGCAAGGCTGAGGCAGGAGAATTGCTTGAATCCAGGAGGGTAAGATTGCAGTGAGCCGAGATCATGCCACTGCACTCCAGACTGGGCAACAAAGCAAGTCTCTGACTCAAAAAATAGTAGTAATAATAATAATAATAACAACATGACCAATTAGCACAAAGAGCAAAGCCCAAATACCTTATTACTATTGGGTTATATTAAAGGCATTAGGACCCAAGGTGGAATTGTTTCTCTTGGAAAGGGTACAAAAGTCAGTATCAAATAATAGTACAATAAAAATTCAAATGAAATATTGAATTGTTTCTACAAATAATGAAGTCAAGGCTGAAAACAAGTCTTTGTTGTATAATCTGGTCTTATATCCTGAGTTTCTGGCACAAAGCCTCAAAAACCCTTGGAGTTTCTTTTGTTATGCTAATGTAGTAACTCAGTGCACATCCCTAGATAGCTTGAGGATGAAGGCTTATCACCATAAAGACCAACATTAATTAGAGGGCTAAGATTTTGAGCCAGGCCCATTTCTAAGGAGGGAAGGGAGGCTGGAGATTTTGAATTTTGAGTCCAATCACCCAGTCAATGATTTAATCATCAAGCCCATGTATGCCAAGTCCCAACAAAAACTCTGGACACCAAAGCTACAACAGGGTGGAGCTCCCTGGCTGGTTAACTCATTGATGTGCAGAGGGAGTGACATGCCCTAATTCCATGAAGAGGGGCACAGGAGCTCTGCATCTCCTCCCAGACCACGTCCTGTGTGTCTTCATTTCGCTGGTCCTCCTAATGTGTATTCCTGGATAACAAAACTATAATAAGAAGCACAGCACTTTCTTGAGTTCTATCAGCTGTTCTACTGAATTATCAAACCTGAGGATGTTGTGAGGACCTCCAAATTTATAGTCAGGTCAAAAGGTCGGTCAAAAGTGTGGATGGCTTGGGGACACATGAAGTGTAGCTGGCATCTGAAGTAAAGATAGTCCTGTGGAAAAGTGACCCTTTAACTTGCAGAATCTGACACTAACCACCAGGTTAGAGTCAATTGGGAGTGAAACAAAATGTCTTCAAGCCAGCAAAGTAGCATTGATATTAAAAAAAATAGTCATGGACATTTCTTTCATGGAAGTTAGGTTATTTGTATAGATAATGATTTAAGGTAGTCTATTAACTCATAAAATGTCCATGGTTCTGTTTCTTCAATCAAGGAAATAAAATAACCACAAGGGACTGTCAATTATGTGACACCCTTACCTGTTCTGTTCCTATCTACTGCCACATTTTAAGAGGGCCATCTATAAACTTACCAGCAAGTGACCTGTTCCTATTTGGGAAGGAATTCTGCCTTTTCCAGTAAATGGTAAGATAACACTTCCCACTGATTTTCAGAGGGAAATGCCAATTTGTGTATCATTTTCTACTACTATTGGTGGCTATGACTTATCTAATGAAAAGACAGCTATTATCAATCCAAAGATCTTCGACTTCTTGTTAAAAATAAATAATAAACATATTCTTATGCAAAAAAATTACACACTTAACATTTCATGTTGCAAAAGTAACATCACAAGTATTTGTCAAATTAGTCCTATAACAAGATAAAATAAAACTTTAGAGAAAAAGTTTAAACACCTAGTATAGGATAAGTGAGATATCATAAAAATAAGAGTTCCACAAATTAATTCTTTGAGTTTGTCATCTAATTGAGATGAAATATATATATGTAATATATATATGAAATGATTCTTAAGCAACAGGTTTTTAACATCAAAAAAGAGTACAAACTAAGGACACAATGGCTGATTAAATAATCAGAAACCAATAAAGTCACTGAAAAAACATTAAGTTTTCCACTTGATACAAAGGTTTGCAGTAGCCACTGGCATATAATGTAGCTCAATTTGTGGTCAGTAAACCATTATTTCATGTCCAGGAGTTTTCCAGCATGGATTTCCAAATGGATAATTTATTGTATCTATGCTTAAGGAAAGTTATTTTTATATTTAAATTTGATGCAACTTCCCTTAAAAATTCTAAGGCAACATCTTCACCTATAACTTGCAGGTAAAACTGCAGTATCTACATACAACCTCTGCTCACATCTCACATTTTCATATACCTGAACATTATTACTACTAATTTCAGAATATATTAAGAGAAATTCCAGAAGCTCTCTAGAATGTTTACAAAAGAATGGAAACAGGTTCGGGATCGAGGTCAAAGAGGATTAGGCCTCTTGAGAGAATAAGTTATACAGGTGTTACAAAAATGAAGAATCATGAAGAAATAGGCTGACACAAAGAAACATGAGAAATCATCAAAACTAACAAAAGTAAATGGAAAACAACTAAAATCTATCCAAGAATGTAATACAGAATCACAAAAAGATTTCAACTTCCTAAAAGTCGTAAACCATAATAGACCTTATCAAACTGTTCCTATAAAAGTGTTTCTAAAACACCAAGAACTTCATGAAGTCTCAAACAAAAACTGCTTCTTACAGTAAACATAGATTACTTTGAAGAAAAATGAAGTCATTGATAGCAATACAAAATGTGGGAAAGCTGAAAACTAAACGGATTTTAAAAGGGGCTATAAAAATATTTCTAATATTTGGTCATAAAACAATACATCGCATACATAAAAGTCTGAGGAAGGGAAAAACAGTCATTTCTTTTATTAATTAGCATTAAGTCAATGTACGATTTGCAAAGATCAAAAGTGTAGAACTCACAAGAGGCAGGAATTCTTGACCTGAAAGCAGATAGACTATCCTGAGGCAGAATCTAGAGGTCATTTGCCCAACAGCAAATGAAAAAAGACAAACAATATTAAAACAACTGAAAGCTTATTTAAATTTTAAAAAGATTATAAAAGAAACCATTTATACCAAATTTAAAGGAAAGGAGAGAGATTACTTATTAATCTATCTATCATAATTACTAGCAGAAATTTGCCAATATTAAGACTGTACACACAAACATTCTAAGGGTCAGTTTTCTGGATCTGGCAAACAGGATGACACGCTTACTTTTTCTGGTGTTATATCTAAAGTTTACATTGTAAATTCAGTAAAAAAGCTATTTTGAGGATTTCTTTTCCCTAAAAGACAACTTTGATAATCTCACATATCTCAAAATTTTAAACAAAGCAAATATCAGAAAATTCTTATTCCCAGGAGAAAAGTAAACTAAGACAATAAATGTTTTCCACATGTTATCTACTGTTGCAAGATAGCAAACATCAATAAGGTAAGCTTCTTACCATAAAGTTATGTTAGGTGATTTTCTTGGGGGTAATTTCTTTCTCTTTGGATAACTACAAAAAGGCTGTAGTTTACACACAAGGAAATACTCAAGAGACTATATACTAACCTGGCCCAGTCCAGGCATACCTCCTCCAAGTCTAAGAAGTCTGTCCATATTTCTAGAAAACAGAAACAAAGAAAAAACGTTCCTAAGCACAAAAGTGTTTACTCAATTGCTATCTATATAATTCACCTTCAGTCACTCAGTATGTCAAAAATATTGGTGGTAATTACAACACAACATCAGACTTCCTGTTAATTAACACCACATATTAATTCAAAAAGCTGTCTTCAATGCTAATTAACAGACCTTATTTTACTGCTTTGGTTTTGGGTTATCCCCAGTTTTAAAGACAAGCAATCTTAGCATACTTTCAAAACTTTGCTATCATTAATTATATTTTCTTATTGTTATCTAATAAAGTACCTTAATGCGGAAAAATTGCATGAAATGCTTATCATATGTATGATTGAATTTCCTTCAATTTGTCCAGAGTGTACAAATAAAAATCCTCACTTTTAAATTAAATTTTAACATACTCATTAGTAAGTTCTGTGCTAATTAACTTACAGCTTGTCAGTTATCATCAAAACTGTATGTGAAAGACATTGTGAGCAGATTATGGATCTCTGAATTAGCATCAAAGGCTTTTAAAAACTGAACTCATTATACTAAAAGAAATACTATAGGGTAAACATTAAATGTATTAAGATAGTGTTCTAGAACCTACACAGATATTTTGTGTTATTTCAGATGTTGTAGAGATATACACCTTTTTCACTAAGGAAATTCAACTGGGCTTCTCAATTATAATTTTGGAATTAACCAATACAAAGTGGATTTATTATATCAATCTGATTTAGTTTTAAGGTTTAGAGTAACTACAGAAGATATTCTTACAATCTTGAAAACGTCACAGAAGAAATTAATACTATCAAGTGTACTTACATGGCCTCAAATAACAAAAAGAAGTAATCAAACTTTAAAAATTAATAGCAGGACAACTAAGTAATTTAAAAATGACAATAAAGAATTTTTTCTACTGGAAAATTGCCATGTCCTAAATTCCTCTTCTTCCTAAGTGTATGCTTTAGAAAATGTTATTACTACAAATTATATTCCAAATTAAATGTTAACAGATTAACATTATTTTACTAGTTAGAATTGCTATATAAACTAAAACTCAATAACGTATTTAGGCTTACTACGTTACCCTCCCATCCCCAATCATCTTTGTTGAATATTGGTAACAATTTAACAATGTTAATATTGCAAACTTGATTCAAGTTCACATACAGAAAAAAACTTTATTCAAGTGCACATACAGAAAAGAACACAAATGGAATCTTCAAAATGAACACATCCATGTAACCATCACCTAGTTCAAGAAACAGAACATTACTGGCATCTCAGAAACGCCACCTAAGCCTGACTTCCAGTCTATTCCACCCTGCAAACGTAAAATTCAACTTTCAACAACATAGATTAGTTCTGCTCTTTTTGAATTTTACGTAAATGAAATAGTATATTTTTCATGTCTGGCTTGTTTCATGTAACATGTTTATGGGATTCACAATTTTAAAAATTCATTTTGTAAAATGAAAATGCACATAAAAAGTGGTAGTCCAGTCAAAATTTCCACTTTACAGTCTTAACTCATCCTCCTAATAGCAACATTTACAAATAAAATCTCCATCAAATACTCACTGAAATTCCTCAACTCAAATATGGCATTCAACACACAGCACTTTTAAATGCCTAAGAACAGGTTGGGAAAAATCCTGTATATTTTATAATATTCAATCATTTCTCTAGGATATATTATCAAAAAAAATTCTTTTGGACCATTTCAAGCTTACAAACTTAAAGAACCAACAGAAAAAACAAACAACATACAATGTATATTAGCATACATATATTCTAGGCCAAAACTGATTCCCAGCTGTATTCAGTTTACCTAGCCCTCTATTTTGTTTCTGATGACTTTACACAGACTCCAGATGCTGTGAATATACATGAGTGATGCAAGGAGCAGAGAGAAAGAAAATCTGGCAGATCAAATTTGTTTCTGTAGCAAAATTAGATGTCTCAGCAAAGAGGAAATATATTTAACAAATTAAAACATTTAAGATAACCAGGTTTAATAAAAATAATTTGGGAATTAAGTATATTGATACATATTCCAAATCACACCACTTTTCAAAATCTGGTTATTTATCACACATATTCATAATTTGACCTCTGTTAAAAGTAATACATTTTCATACTACCTCTCTATCCGTCCCTAAAAGAGTAATTAAAAGTAAAATACATTTTAAACCTTACCTGGTCAGTAACTGCAACTCTTAAGGTGTTAACTTTCAATTTGTTGAATTTGACAAATTGCTTCTTAAAGAAAGCCCTTGCTAATTCTGGCAGGTACAATTTCCCCAAGTATGTATTTTTTTCTCTCCTATAAAAGGTAAACAAAATATGATATAATTATTTTGATAATCTAAGGGGGAAAATTTTATACCAAAACCTTTAAAAGAATCAAAATTCCTAAAAATGAAGTAGAAATTAAAACTCTTTTTAAGTAATCATTTCCTGAGAGTTTAGAATGATCTACCTTACTGGGAGTTACAGAGCATAGTGATTAACCCTGTATCCAAATTTTATCTGTATGTTTCTTTCATGAACACTAATTTTGAACAGACATTTCAAAATTTTTAGTCTTTCCAGGCATCTTCCAAAGAACAAAATAGACCAGGCGTGGTGGCTCACACCTGTAATCCCGGCACTTTGGGAGACCAGCCTGGCCAACATGGTGAAACCCCGTCTCTACTAAAAACAAAAAATTTAGCCAGGCGTGGTGGTGGGCACCTGTAATCTCAGCTACTTGGGAGGCTGAAGCAGGAGAATCGCTTGAACCTGAGAGGCAGAGGTTACAGCGAGCCAAGAACGTGCCATTGCACTCCAGCCTGGGCAACAAGAATGAAATTCTGTCTCAAAAAATAAATAAATAAATAAACAAACAAAAAATTAAAATTTACTTATATTTTTAAATAGAACAATTCATTCTATCATGCAATTACTATATAGGTTAACTATATATTACTATAAATCTATCAAATATTATGGAATGTTAGTGGTTTTCTTATACCCTGAAAATTTGCTATTTTATCATACTAGGGAGTATTAGTTCATCGTTTCTTAATCAATTATTCCCAACTACACCAAAAAAGACTAAAATGACAAGAATATGAAAAAATGACAAGAATTGCCTAAAATAATGCAATAGTGAAAAAAATTACAGTTACTGTATCATTCTTTGGGTCTTATTGTGTTGCCCAAAGCACTGATCCATCTTTCAAAAAGACATAGAACACCAGAGACTTCATCTTCGTAGTCTTTTTTTTTCAGTCTTCATTTAGCACAGCTGAGAAATCAGAATTTTTCATTTTAACAATGACAAAAGGTAGAAAAGCGACAAAGTAAATGTTTTACATTATTACAAAATCAAAGCTAATGTGAAGGAGACAAATTATAGCAGTCTAGTCTCTAATGATTACAATAAAATAGATGGTACAAGCCAGGATTTACTCACTTCAGTACTACTGATATTCATAACCAGATAATTTGTCGTCGCTGGTGAGGCTGTCTTGGGCATTATAGGATGTTGAACATCATCCCTAAGCTCCACTAGATAACAGGAGCACCTATCCAGTTGTGACAATCAAAAATGTCTCCACACAAGCTTTATTGCTGTTGACTATTAAAAAAAAAAAAAAGAAAAAAAAATGTCTCCAAACTTTACCAAATGTCCCCTGGGGGTAAATGTTTGGACACATTTTTGATTGCCTCAAAAATCACTCTCAATTGGAAATCATTGATATAAACAAAATCTCAGACTATCTATCTTGAGATGATATTTTAGATTAATTTTCTGAAAATTAAGAACCAATAAGTGCTGGAAACAGTTTGGCAGTTCCTCAAAAAGTTAAACATAGAATTAGCATTTGATCCAGCAACTCCACTCATAGGTACGTATATACCCATAAAACTGAAAACAAATACTCAAAGTAAGCTTATATACATACATGTTTACACCATCACTATTCACAATAGCCAAAAGGTAGAAACAGTCCAAAATGTCCACCAAAGAATGAATGGATAAACAAATTCTACTATATACACATAAGGGAATATTGTAATATGAAATACTGTTCAGCTATAAAAAGGAATAAAGTACTATTGCACATGTTACAAGTTGGCTGAACCTCAAAATATCACACTATGTAAAAGAAGTCAGGCACAAAAGGTCACATGCTATGTGATTCCATGTATATGAACTATCCAATAAATCCATAGAGACAGAATGCAGACTGGTAGTTATCAGTGGGTGGGGAAGGGAGGAAAATGGAGAAACCGATAAATGGCTAAGAGACTTTTTACCTTGGAACGACAGAAATGTTCTGGAACTAAATTGAGGTGGTAATGGCACACTGTGAATGGACTAAATGGTACTCAACTGTTCACTTTAAAATGGTTAGTTTTATCGCTTCTCGGCCTTTTGGCTAAGATCAAGTGTAAAATGGTTAGTTTTATATTATGTTAATTTCCTCTAATAGATGAGTTGTTTAAAGGGTCAATAAGTAAACAATATATTTCTAAAACCAAAAAAGTTACATTCTTATTCAGTTATTTATTCAACAAGGACTTCATCACACAAAATTTTGCAATAAGAACCTGTTTT